TTTAGTAGAGACGGGGTTTCACCATGTTGACCAGGATGGTCTCGATCTCTTGACCTCGTGATCCACCCGCCTCGGCCTCCCAAAGTGCTGGGATTACAGGCTTGAGCCACCGCGCCCGGCGAAAAATAAAACCTTTGTAATAAAACATATATAACCAAAATTGAAAGATAACACCAAACCAATCAAATTTACATATATCAATATTTACAGTTTAGAAACAGAAATAAATGAACAATGACTTTATGATCTAAATCTTATCAATTCTTTAAGAGTAAAAGTTTGAAACTATAACTTATTTAATCAAAATTTTTTTTTTTGAGACAGAGTCTTGCTGTGTCATTAGGCGCCAGGGTGGAGTGCAGTGGTATGATCTCGGCTCACTGCAACCTCTGCCTCCCGGGTTCAGGCAATTCTCCTGCCTCAGCCTCCCAAGTAGCTGGGATTACAGGCATGCGCCACCACGCCTGGCTAATTTTTGTATTTTTTTTAGTAGAGATGGGGTTTCACCATGGTCTCGATCTCTTGACCTTGTGATCTACCCACCTCGGCCTCCCAAAGTGCTGGGATTACAGGTGTGAGCCACTGCACCAGGCCAATTATTTTTTTAAATATTATCTAATCTAAAAAGAAGCCTTCAGAAAAGAACATCTGTAAAATTTAAATATAAAACAGCTTTCATGGAGAAAAATTCTCATAGCTCAGCAGTTATTCAAACTCAATGTACATGGATATATATGCACAGTTTTTCGGAACCTTAGCTATTTTTCATCCCTTTCTCTTCAAAATACTTTGGTTCTCCTAACAGACATGCAAACTGTTTCTTTCACACTTCCTTCTAAATTCTATGTAGACACTATTGATGAAATCACCAAAAAGTAAATAGAAGAAAAAATAAGGGCTTGAATGATCTAAGTCAAAATGTAGTTACATGAAGTCTGTCATTAACCTCCACAAAAAATTACTTACATCTGCTTAAAAAGTTGTCAATATTTTTGTTTTTTCTTAAGGCAGGAAAATCCAAATCATATACCAAAGCATCCAATCCATCCTAAAGAAACAAACAAACTATGGTTAGTTTTTTGGATCACATTATGAACAGTTTCCTTTTTTATCAAAGAATAAAATATATGCTTTAATATTTAATTTCCCCTACACAACTTGTGTACATTTAACACTCCTCACAAGATTATATGAATAGTGAGAGAAAAGTTGTTTTCATTTTATATGTAGTTCTTTTTACCTTCTAAGTCTGCCAGACCCAGGGATAAGAAAACTACCGTATTGGCTGCAAGTGATTTCAATCCATGTACTTTTCCCCTCATAAGGACATGAAATTTTATTTTGCATTACTTCTTCTTACTATGGCACTTATCTTTATTTCACAGACATCAAAAACCTACATTTGTTATTACAAATATTTTACAAGTTAACAGCTAAATAATAAAATGTGAGATCTAATATAAAATAAATACTGCATAATCACAAATACAAGCTATATACATTTTTTTTTTTTTTTTTTTTTTT